GCGTACGCGTCTTCTTTTGTTCATTCGATCTACTCTAATTAATGGTGCGATGGAGCGCGGCAGACATCAACGGACACCACACAGTTCAAATGTATACTTTTCTCGTTGAACAATGTTGCGAAGATCAAAGTAAGTCCTACCTTTTTTTCACATTGGAAGATAGCCGATTTGTCTTAGCTTGGCTGACTTGTGACGAGTCTGCTTCTGACTGTGCGACTGTGACGGGACGCAGTGACGGGGCTGAGCTTTTTCGGACTTGCACGCAGGCACAGCCAAAATCAGACAGACTTGCCACAGCCAGCATCAGACTCGCCTCCGTCAGCACCAGACTCGCCACCGCCAGCACCAGACTCGCCAGCACCAGACCCGTCACCGCGTCCCGCCACAGTCGCACAGTCAGAGTCAGCCCCGTCACTGCGTCCCCACATTACGTCCATAACGCAGCGGCGCGCAGAGTCGTCCTAATGTCCACAGCGCACCGCTTCCGAATAAAAATAGAGTGTGAGGGCTTCGGAGGGCTTTGGTCTATCTAAGAATGACGCACATGGAAAAGTGAACAAGTTGGATCCTCAGGAATGTGCATCTCAAATCGCTAACACTTCGCCCATTCCGATATCATTTCAAATTACTTATAATATAGCACGCCGATTTTACTGCAACTATTTCTATATCTCGGACCGCTGATCAAAGGCCTCCTCATCGGAAAGCGCACCTTATTTCCGCCAAATTTATTCACGGGGTTACTTCATGAAAAAGAAACAATATCCCAAAAATTGGCGCGATTGAGTCCCACTTTGGGTCCGCCCTGATGTTCCAACTGGTGTGCTGTCCTTAGTGTTTCCACCTACTTATATGAGAAGGGAGAAGGGAAAGGAAACAAGGGACGAGTCTCAAGAAAAACTTCTTTCTAAGTAGGTAAGACAATGAATAGACATAATGTAGAGAGAAAGAGAATAGGAACATCTTACTTTTAGCCCTCGCAGGGTCACTAAGAGTTCCTAATTCCTGAGCTAACCTCTCTGGTATAGTGCTCTCACACTTTTATTCGGGTCGAATTGACATTAACAATTCAAGGTGGAAATATTTCACGCGTGTGTAAGTTAATTAATCCATACATCACATCCAAGGCACGCGGATGTCGTGGTGAAGGGAGACACCAGGAGTGCAGATAATGAGCAAACTGTTAAGGCAAGTGAGTCATTATCTCCTGAGTAAGGCAAGGAGAATCCCCGCCTGAGTGAGGCCTTCCTTGATTCCACGGGAAAACTGAGAGGGAAGAAAGCAACTCACTCGACCAGGAATAATGATCGACTACGGCTAAGACGTGGTCGCAGGCAGGTGAGTCTCAAGGACACTACCAGGAGACGAAGTTTTATGCTGTACCGTTTTCTCCGACCGGGAAGGCCAAGAACAACAAAGAAATGTTATGGTCTAGATCTTAATCTGTGTCCGGGGAAACTTGTCTTCAGGGAAAGGGAGCAACAGGAGCGCATGCATGCGTCAAGTTCAAACTTGTAGTTGTTGTTTAATTCTCACGGTTTTTGGGTCTTTTGGTTCAGAGGGACTCATCTTTGATAGCGGTAAAGTTAAGGTATGATAGAGACATCGTTATCCTAGGGTTTCAAACCTCTCATGGATGAGCAATCAATTTGCTCGCCGAGGCTGAGAGTGAGAAGTGATAGACCTATACGTAGAAAAGAATGTTTACTTTAAACTTCGTATCTAATTCGTAGTTTTTTGATGTCGCACTAGGATATAGCTTGATTTTGTTAATATCTGTAGTTCTCCTGGTACGTGGCTCGAGTGAGCGAATTAGAATGGTCGTCTGGCTTCCCTTAAAAAACGCACTTGTTGCTCTTTCATCTAGTCGCATTAAAGTACTACAACGAAGAAACTTACTTGGTGCTGGTATTTGCTAGAATTTTTTTAAAATGTTGCAGGGTGGCTAGAAGTGGCTAGAAGATTGAAGTGGCTAGAAGGCCGTGTAAGTATGAATTATAATTTTTCCAAATTGTTGCATTTCCGCAGCTTCCCCTTTCTGCTCCACTCAAGGTGAGATCGTTCTAATCGTTGCCGATCCAGGGAAATTGTGGCGGAAACCTGTAGGACTTTGCGAAACCACGAGCACGACCGATGCGGGGAACGACTGGCATCGCATTGCCTATGTTGGCATGCAGTTGTCTCCATTAAGGCGGGATGATCCAATGTTGAATGTGCAGCAATATAAGCTAAAACCTTAACCTTTAGGGAGAGGGAATAGTGCAAAGACCAGCGGAGTGAAGATCATGGGATTAGTGCTACCAAAGAAGTGATGTTCATAAAAAATGCTATGCTCTAGAAGAGCGAGCATTCCTCGACATTTAGTGCATTTCGTAGCATGCTTCTCCATGCTCTCTCTTGTGTAGAATAGAGCCTAGTTTTCCCGACATACGACCTAGTCATGTAGCTCCAGAACCTGCACAGAAAACACAAAGGTACGACTGAGTGCGGTGGAATGAGTCTCGTGTCATGACGAATGATATTCTAAGGTGAGCGGCCACGGACACGGCGATAACCGAGCAGCGCCAAGTGCTAGCAGTGAACGCGAAGCAGTCTTGGGTCCTGGCTGCGGTTCGTTGGACGAAAGACAATACAAATATAGGCTGTCTCGTAGTTTCGCATAGATCCGAGGGCAAAGTTGCAGCGAGTACTGACCGTCCGAAAGGTCCGGGTGACGCGGACGAAAAAGAGGCACTTGCCTCAGAGGAGAGGGATATTCTCGATGCCATTGGTATTCAACTAAAAAGAGTTAACGCAGACGCAGTTGAATCTCCTGTTATGGTTTTTGTTTTTATAACACATGTTTAGAGAATACCATGGACAATTGTAGCATAAAATGACCGTATCTGTGAGGACCTTGCGAGATCTTCCAGAGGAAGTAGGTGGATCGAGACAATTCATAGAGACAATATTTAAGATAAATTCGATCTAACTCATGGCTACATACTAGCTTTTCTCTTGATCTAGTTAGGCTCAATCCGGAATCCTTTAACTACATCATATTGATAGATTGACGTTTCAACTGTAGCTCTCAGTGAACTTTAGTACTGCTACCGTGGGACACCTCTAGAGCAAACTACAAACTAACTGATTGCTGATGCAGTATCTAGTACTTCTGTACGAGATTTCGTCTTATAGAAAAGCGCGAACTTCTCAATTTCAGGAGTCTGCAATTGGAATTTTATGCTACTAGTGCAAATGCGTTGCGGTCGCAGCGTAGTGGCAAGTGTTATAAATGATTGCATGAACAAGAACAAGAAACAATCTTCAATTCTGTAGCCTCTCCTCGATTAGATACTGTTGCAATTATATTTTATATAGGTTCCAGGGCGCGGGACGACGCCCCCCCGCTAGCCGGGCGGCCTGGACCTCTTTGTAAGGCGTCTGCCGGGTGGGAAGGCCTCAAAAGGGGGCCCAGTGACCTCCCCCCCCGCTCCCTTCCAGCTGCCTGGCTGTTCCCCAGGGGCCTCCGATGGTGGTGGGAGGCTTCAAAAGGGGCCCAAGGGACCGCCTGCGCCCCCGTCCAGGTGCCTGCTTGTGCCCTAACTGCATCCGTTAGGCTTCGCCGCCGCAGCCGTGCCGCCTGTACCCTCCGGGCCCTTGGTCATCGGCTCGCTTGCTCTTGCGACCGTGGCCGCCTTCGGCGGCCTTTTATCCCGGAGGCCTCTCGCCTGCGAGGGTCAGCAGAGGCCAGGGGGCCCCCCTGAAATACGCTGAGAGGCCCAAGGGGAGGCCCGCGCCAAGTTTTGGCGCCTTCCACCACTAGAATCCGCGAAAAATCTGCGGAGAAGTCCGGCCCTGGGTCATATATAAGGAGTTGGCAATAACAAGACGACGCGCAGCCTTGGCTTGACCCTAAGTAACCCAAGCATTGAAGAGTGGCGATTTCTTGCACGAATGAAATGAGAACGAAGTAGTTTGCATCAAATGAGAATGACTAGGTTTTTTTACTTCATCTCGGTCAAAATCCGAGGGAACGAAGGACGTTCTTCAACGAAAGTCCTTTAACAACAGAGTTATTTTCACGCTAATGAAGAAGATGGCGAAGGGAATGGCGAAACGCTGTTGGTTCATGCATTGGCCGATGTTGGAGAGGACATCGAGGCAAGCGCCAGTGAGGACAAGGCTAGCAGCATGGGCCCGAAGCGCTTAAGGCTGCTTCTAATCCATTCTGATCACCACGTCGATCGTAGCTTCTAAAGAAGCAAAAACATTTTAGACGTTTAAAAACGGCAAGCTCTCGACGGTAACAAGGTTCTTGGTGTTGGTCCTCGATCGAGGAGAAGAGCGGACTCAACCAAGTAGCTCTAAGGCCCAGCGCCGTGAATGCGAAGAAGTCCTGCGAAAGCCAGAGATCTCGAGCCATGGGCGACTCCAGGTCAAAAGATGACGCCGAAGACAGAGAATTCGCTCTCGTCTATCACTATAGGCCATTACGGGTTCTTGCAGCTTTATCATTATTTACATCAGGTCAGAGGGTCAATGACGTGAAGGCTGCGGCTCTATTCATTGTCCCTCTCTATCTCTTTCGCCTGTGGAGTTGTTCCGCGGCTCCTTTTTGGTGAATCTTCACCTTTGCTGACACTCATTTGAGACAACTTCTGAGATTCATTGTTAAAAAATAGAGATGCCGTGATGATGATCATAATGTCGTCTTATAATTCAGTCTAGACTATGACAAGAATGAACCTCAAGTAAAGCGCACTGGTCGATAGTTGAACGCTCAAGCTGTCAATATACACTATAACAGATGACACACAAGAACCTAAGGTGCAAAGTAATGGATCACCCGCAGGTACTGAGTACGTACCTAAGTACGTACAGCAATTATGTGGTGATGACTCTAAATTGAGAGAAGTGGAACGCTGTGGACGGGAACGAGGAGGACGCTGCTTCTGTCGATCCCCAAATTATGAATCATCTCAAGCATGAGCATGAAGATCATCCTACCAGTACGGAAGTCAACAATTTAAAGACTTACGAACATCATGATCAAGGAAACAACAGGAGCAAGAAAATCATAACGACAGCAACACGAGATCAACCCCATCAGGATCAACAACATCAACAACAAGATCAAAGTCTTAAGGTCTTAAGCGTGTGCAGCAAGTAGCAAGTTGATGAATTAAATAGTTGGTCCGGATCTAGTTAGCTTAGGCAGATGAAAGGCACTAAGCCCCAGGGATCTTCGTACTTAACAACAACAACAACAGAAGCCAGACGTTTTGTCTTCTCAAATTTATCCTGTGCTTGTGCAGATTAGCACTAGTCACAGGACAGGGGCGACATCGCTGAGGATGATGAAGAGCATCATCCAAACCGTAGCCATTGAGCTACCTTAGGGCTTATCTAATTTCGATGTTCTCCTGGCCGGAACAGTTTCTCGCGGGCGTTGCTTTCCACAAATGCCACTAGCAACGGAGGAGCTGTTGCAAACTGTGCAGCCTTCTGCAGAAAAGGAGCCGGAGAGCAAAAAGTCTAAGGAGTCAACTGTTTTGGAAAAGCCGCGTGTTCTTATTGCTAAACAAGTTGGGTCTAGAGTAGATAACTCATCCTCATTTTGATGCAGTACTAATTATAACGTTCACTCACGATTGCTTCATCTAGTCCACGCATGTTCATATTACTTATTTTAATTGATTGTTTGCTTCTCAGTTGTCTTCGTTGTATTATCTCTAGTATGATCTGGGTAACAAAAGAAGGAGCAGAAGCACCATAGGTGTCTGGTCTATCTATTGATGATAGTGGCAGCAACTTTACTGCATACTCTTATCATCTGTATGTTTCCCTCGTCATTGGCTTGCTCTCGGCAAAGAACAATCACGAAAAGATATGGCTGTTAAAGAGATGAATTATTCATAGAAGATGCAACTAGGTCTGCTACTGCTAAAAAGCACGGCGAAAAGACTAAGGTGCTACTGCGATGCGGGTTTTGGAGCGTCAATTCGCCCACTCAGATGTCCTCTTTGGGCGGCGACGACAAAAAATGCAAGGCTGCACACCTACTCGAGGAAGACCCTGAGTGTTTTTATGGTCTCAGCAAGGACTAAGGGGTTTCTTAGTAGTATTCATCTGGTATCTTTTCACGACAAGTTGCAGTCATTGGTCAACCAAGTACCAAATGATTACCACTCGTAGTGAAGAAGTATCAATAAATTACTATGGCTAACTCTTAAATCCACTAGGTGCGGGTGCCTCCTAGTACTACTTGGCAAACCAAAATGACAATAGTTGTGGAATAGTCCGCTTACCAAGTTGTGCGCCTTTGCAAACAGACACGGCCAATGCCTTGCTCACCTACATTAAATTGATGCATAAGGGGGGCTTCTTTGCTCACTAGCCAAGACACAAACAAGTAGATGAGCAGGTTTGGGGTATTACTTGGCGGGATGCATGCAAATCTGTAGCCATCCTCGAATCCATAGAGGTGTTAATGGCACTTGATGCGTCACTACACTTTACTAGACTCACACGACATTATAGGAGAGCTGCAAATACAGGAGGTATTCTTGTATGATCGCGTGACTGTGAATACCATTTCGAGGTAAATAGATCTTTGAACATTAAATTTTACTACGTCTTCTGCGAGTGCGAGAGATTCGAAAAAGTGCGGGTGGGAAGTATTTAGCCTCTTTTTGAGGAAGTGCAAGAAAATCTATAGGGGCGGAGGGGGGTAGAGGTCTTTCGATAGGAACGGAGCGACGTTTGTCGGTCTTGTGCTGAATCATGAATAAGATAATATGCTTTTGGGCCGTCTCGCTCTTATCTACTATGGATAGCCGGCATTAATTGCGAAAAATCACTAGAGAGGCCATGGGAATGTCTACCATGCGAAAAAAGGATAAAAGCCGCTAAGTATATAGTTGAGTGGAATCCCACGGGCGTCTAGACAGTAGGACAAAAACGTCAGGTAGATGCTAGGGTGGGGGTAAAGGCTAGGGCGATAGAAATAGTGAATGGCTGAGTCGCAGACCTCAGTTTATTAGATTTTCGTGTGCTAATTTTTCTTGCCGCTTGGAGCGTTCGATGTGGATGAAAAAGGGGAGCCAATCATCGATCCCGACACTCAGGCGCTCAAACTCAGTGTTACGACATAGTTTGACGGTCAACACTAAGGACTAAACTAGGGGTCTTTCCCTATGCATACATTTTTATGTTCCGGTAATACAGATATTCATACTCAATTCGGCCTTGGTATTTATCAAGATGATTCAGCGTCGTTTTTAGTTTCGTGGTAAAGCAATGCAGCTACTTAATTGCACTCTCGTTGTGCGCACTCCTCTACCGAGTGGTGGTGCACATTTCTTTTGCTGTACTTCTGTGGGTTACAACTCTGGTCGTGGTCGAAATTTTTGCCATCCTGTGGACGCCGTCAAATCGGACCGGATCCCCATGGTTGGTCTCGGATTAGCCTCCCTGCTGTGTCCGGAGATCAGATCCTCAGGTGCAGAATGCCTTTGGAGGTAGGCCCATCGCGTGCGGGCGACGCATCATGGGTCAAGGCGTAGCGGCCCCGCGATGAAGCGCGCCACCTCGCATGAGCTGCGCCGCATTGTAATGAAGACTCCCACTGCCGAAGGCCCCCACTTGCTCATCTTAAGTACATTGCAAACCCAAACAAGCACCGGCAAGACTTTGAACTGACGGGGGCTAACACAGTCAGGGGCCACGGCTTTCGACTGTGTGTTAGCCTTGAGAAGTTTGAGCGAGCTACGGCTGCCCTGTGGCTCTGGTTTCTCATGTGGCTCGATTCCTTCCTTTTGAGTCTCCCGTGTGTTGTTGGGTCGAATTTGGGTCCATTTTTAGCTACTTCTCTTGGGTTCCACCATGCAGACTGCCAAGGCGGCCATTGCGATGCTGGAGGTGGCAAAGCTACAGATCGTTGTTTTTTTCCGCCTGAGTAGCCTCTCATCGTTGCGAACCTTTTCGACGCCGATTACGCTTCTGCGCAGATATTGTTCTGTGCGAGGTTTATTGTATTGTTTGTATACTAATTAGCTCCAACTACGACTACTGCTATGTATCTGAAGAGTGCCAGCGTGTTTAAAGTTTTCCTAGGCCTAGCGCTACTCCTTTTTCGATCCTGTTCCCAGAAAGTGTGGTTGTTGTCGAGTCCTCAACAGTGCCTGCGCGTGTCACTCCTCTAAGGTCCTGCCTGATCGTTGCAGAAGCGACGCAAAATATCCCTGGGCCGAATTTTACTACATGGCTGATGGCAGTGCAAAAGCTTTGGAGCCAGGCAAAGAACTTACACGGGGCAATTTAAGGCTGCCAAGAGAAGGTCGATACCCATTCAATCCGCCTTTCAATCTACATATATTTGTGACCCTAAGACTAACGAAAGGCCGATAGTCAAGATTCAACATCTTAAGATGGATTTCTCCTTTACTTTTTTACAGTTTACGGATACCTTGCTTGCCTTGTTGGGAATATCATGTAATAAAGTTCTGCTGCACTTGATGTTGACTCTTTGAGGACAATGGGCGCCAGTGACATGAAAATAATACAAGAATGGAATATAATGGTTGCTCTAATGCCACATGGTGGGAAAGTAGACGTGATTCCGCTCGGCGTCCGTGTGGTTACCGGCATGCGTGACGAAAAGGGCTCTTTTGCTTACGGCGTGTGGTGCTTTTTTGATAGGTTTTTTGAATTCGAATCACGTATGGCTCCTTGACTAGTAATAAAACTTTGCAAGAACTACTATACTAAAAATGTACCGTCTACCGTCATGGGCCTTAGGACTCGTCGTATTTGCAGCTTAGATACTGTGTAGTCTTTCGACTAGCTTTTCTACTAGTAATCCTTGACATTGTTGCAGTGAGAAGCTAGGATAACACAAGGTCTAGCGCAGTAGCGATCTAGTATTTTTATTTCTCTCTATGATGCCCTAGTTAGTAGACCTTTCTAGATTCTAACTGAAAAACGATAAATATATATTATGAAATCACTAAGCCAATAGATTCTCTGACGATACCCATGAATTCAGTGCCTCAAATGAGCTGGGCCAGAGTTGTAATTAAAAATCTCATCTGAACAAGAGTCGTTTAATAAACGTTGATACGGCAACATCGAGTCAAATCGGAGACAAGTGACATGACGTGATAGGACAAATACTTAATCAACAACTTTACAAATAATCTTCGTGATGGTCTGAAGACTTCACTTTCTTGTGAGTCTTAATTGGCAATTACGAAACGCTGCCGCTGGTTAAGTATCGTTTGCATAGTACCAACTTGCTTTTTTGCGCAACTTGGTCTTGGATAGGCAGGCGCGCGAAGATCATCCATAGTAAGTCCCGTCATTAACGGAAAAGGGGTCTTGTTTCTGATTCTAATTCTTGAAGCGTTTTTCTGAGGCATTTTTCAAACAGGTGCCTGTTGCGTTATCGCAGCAGGGTCTACTGGGCGGAAATGATCTCACGAGCGAGGACGCGCCGGAACTGCATCAACAGAAGGTACTGGCTATCATACTAGAGTGGTAAGGTTCTAGCTTATCGCGAATCCAGCAAAAGCCGGGCTTCCTTCTCATTGATTTTGTCCAAGTAAAAGAAAAAGAAGTGCCGCGATTTGTTCCTCGACTTCACTATATTCAACAGTAGTTGATAAGTGAACAGGCAGTTGGCTTAGTGGTTTAGGCGTTGGCCTGTTCACTTATCAATCAAACTACCGGGGCGGGCTCGGCCGCCTTTCTCGCGATCTCTGTCGCTAGGCACCCCCTGCCGTAGCTAGGTGGGTCGCCGCCTTTCTTTTGCGGCCGGTATCACTAGGCTTCCAGGTTCATTGGGGACTGGGCTTCTGCCATCCTCGCGACCTCAGTGGCCAGGCTCCCCCCTTCTTGGGTGGGACCGGTCAAGTTTTCCGATGTCGGGCTCATCGGTGGCTGCGTCTTACAGACTTGGCTCATTCTGTGGCGGGTGTGTGCACTGGAGCGCGCTCAATCAGACGCCCTCCACCCTTTGGCCTCGATGCGTATTTTTGGACTCTGTCACTTTTTTTGATATTACCGGGACTCGAACCTTACGTAGTTTGATTGATAAGTGAACAGGCCAACGCCAAAACCACTAAGCCAACTCCGCAGACAGTTGGCTTAGTGGTTTAGCTTTAGGGGTTGGCCTGTTCACTTATCAGTAGTTTCCACATTTCCGGCTTTCGGTGAGCAGGGCGGATATGGATACCGCTTTATATTATAAAGTCTCGAGTAGATCTCTCATTTCTAACAAACTGAAAAATTGGCATCTTTTCTTTGTCCTCCACCACTAAATATATAACGAGTGTGCTAGGATCATATCGAGCA